TAGTTCCATAACTCGCCGCTAGGGTGAATCGCGCATCCGTAACATAGGGATGACGCCCTGTCGCTAGCCGCATGTGCACAGGCACACTCCACAGCCCCGGCCACGGCACGGTTCAAGGATAGAGATGATGTCCAGTACGGTGATTGGATAGGATGATGTTAGTTGATAAGATAGGACTGGACATCTTCTCTATTCCTGAGCCTGGTGGCACTTGTGACTTGGAACGTCTCAATGAAAAAAACGTAAATAAACACGAAATGTATTTACTATAGGGGCCTACCAAAGTCTCAATGTTTCTCTACTCTATTTCGCCTATTATTGCCGCTAATTACCCGTAAATGCCGGTCAAATGCTCATCTGCAACACACAAGTACACCGCATGCACGCCCTGTCAGTGTGCACAAACAACACGAATAAGAGAGCAGGTAGGAAAGCGTGATCGCAAAATTCGCTTGTCGCTCGCTTCATTTCACACCTTGGCAAAAATGGAAATGGCCATAAGTCAGTTCAGGTTCAACGGATTTTGCTCATTTCTATAGTATGTGAATGAATAACGACTGGCCCCAAAACATATCACACGGGTTTTTTTTTTTTTTTTAATTATGCAAATTAGGTGGTTCCTGGAGTGGGTTTCCACTGATGTGGATTTAACCCTTGAGTCCAGTATAAAATAAAGAAACCGAAAACAACAACAACACAACAGGTAGATTTTGGCAATTTCTCTATGCATTTCAGTGTCTGCATGCCTATATGGCCAACGATAACTCAAGAACCGTTTGACCCACATGTTTCAAATTGAATAGGCCTACAGTTGTTACTCCTATGGGAGAGATTTGAACTTCCTGTTTTGGAGCACGCTAGTCGACCTACTTTTGAGCCACGCCCACTTTTTGGCAAAAATGAAAATGGCCATCTAAATTCATTCGATTTTGTTAAATTTTGGTATGTGAATGTGTAAGGCTAGCCCCAAACCAGTTGTTACTCCTATGGTAGAGAGATGACAATGTCCTATTACGTTTATTTCGTCTAACTGGTCAACAACTCTAGCTACAATCATACCTATATATACGTGTAATATTGTGTTTTAGATTCTTCGTTACAGTAAATTTGACTGGAATATTTTATTGTTGTTATTTGCGCGATATTCGAAAACCAAAATGGCGATCATTTAGGCATAGCGCCATCGCTCGTCAAGATTTCACATCTGAAACATTTATTTTCGCATCAAAACTTATGCATATATCATTATCAAGAGTATATAATGGGAGATATCCTATATAATGGGAGTTCTCCCATATATATACTCTTGCTTTATATATCCCCCTCCCTCTTCTATCACACCCAAGGTGAGCTACAGTGTCATTGACACTTTCATTATTATTGTAAGCAGATATATAGGTATAGTAAATAAATATTGATTATATTTATTACCATGTTTTTGGTAGTGTGGTCCAGAGGACACATCCGGAAAGCACATCGTGTAGGTACACTATCAGTTAGTATGGGATAACATATTGCATATGTGTGGTTATATGTTATCCGTTCTGCCACACATTAGCAAAAACACATTAATTAGTATATGCAAATTGCCAGTGGGTGGGACATTGTAGCTAATTTAAGTTAAGTCTCACGTTTATATTCTATCGATCAGAAGTCACTTATGTTTATCATGGGCGTATTAGGTGAGTCATCGATTATGTGGATGGGAATAAAGTGACAGTGGTGTGTGGCTCGAAATTTCCGTCTCTCCTTGCGACGACGGTCTAGCATTGGATCAACCGAGCAAAGGTATATGTATAATCGCTGCAATAACGATTCTAAACATAGATATGCTGCATATTGTTGATATTCACTTACAAAATATATATATAAAAATAAGAGTGACTGCAAATATTAGGTCAGCCTATTTTACAATTAATTATTTATTAGATTAAATGTAATTGTATACTCTACCAACTTTTTCATACACCGACCTAACCAAACCCTCTTGCTCGACATTGACTCTAAGGGATGGGTACACTTGACATAGAGTAGCTTCATATTAAAATTTTAGTAGTTTGACAATTCAAATAAGTTTAGCAACATTAATCCAAATACAATAATGCAATAAATTGTAGAATGATAAATGAAAACTGATTAGTTTCAATATTGACATAATGACACTATTTAGTAAAAAGTTGAAATTTAAATAAAAAACAGTCAATAATAGACAGACCTACATCCGTGCAAGTCCATTTACGATGATCGCAATCTGCGCTCCCGCGCGCACACTCATGACGTCGGTGAAGAATCCCGTCAATAAAAATTGCGAAAAAACTATTATTTAAGAATATTAAAATTAAAAAATATTAAATAAAATAATGAAATTTAAAATATTATATTATTTTAAAATTAATAATTATTGAGACGAATAAAAAAAAATCGCCCGTTGTTCGCAGGTGGCCCGCGGAACTGCTGTCGGGCTTGAATCCCGCGGGCACGTTTGACCTTTGCGTCACTTGCCTCGACCGAAGGCACCGGCAGAGTTACTCGAGAACAGAGCCGCGCTGGGACTTTCGAATTAACTTCGAGCGCGCTCGGTCGCGCGCAACGCGGCTTCGACGTGACCAATCGAACTCCGGGCACGCTATCGGCGCCTCTACGCGCGTCTTCGCTGCTGGGAGCCGAAGGTGTGCCCGTGCTGCTCGGATCGCGACGTCCTACGCGCTGTCCTTGCGGATAAGATGGCGGCCTGCGGTCGTTAACGGGAGCACGGCCGTCATTCGAGAGGCGGCATGATGTCGCGACAGCGGCGGGGATCCCCGACCTGCGCGCTGCTGACAGCCCTTCCGGAGCCCTCGTGGAGGAGTTTATGCCGGCCACTTGCTTAGCTGGGACTGGGGCCGCCGGTCCGAGCGCCACTGCGAAGAACGCGGAGTTGCACTCTGCGGCGCAGCTTCCATGCCTCCTGCCCACCTGTCCCCCCTCCGGCTCTCCGTCTCTGCGCCCTCGTCGGTACGCCGTGCCGCCTCGCTCCCTCTCTCCTTTCTCTCTCCCCCTGCGTACTCGTGAATGCGTCCTTCTCCCTAGCTTAGTCAGCTTTGCTCGCGATGTGGCTGCTCCGATCTCATTCCGAGATAGCCCGCCTCCGTCTGATAGCCCCTCGATGCCTTCGTTCCCGCGCGGACTTATCCCGTCCTGTGCCGCCTACGACACCGCGCGGGCTTGCCCGCTTTACGCCGGTGCGCGCGCGCGACGCCCAGCGACATGTAGGCTCCGGCGCGGTGAGCGGAGCTGAGGGTGTTTGTTCATATCTGGGTTACAGTTGGTGGCACAGCTGTGACTATACGACTATATTCTTTAATCTGGTATCATTGACGGAACGACAATCAGCCGTCGCTTTGGTGCTCATACGTATGCCGTGCTGGCGGTCTCAGTGCGCCAACAGTGTGACGATCGTCGGTGGTTCGCGGCGGTGGCTGGGCTTCTTTGTTAGTAGTTATGTGGACGGGTGGCAGGTGATGGTATCACCGTTGTTCGACAATCGAAGCCCTAACGTACGCGCGTATCAGCGTTAGCGGCGGCACCGCCGCCTGTCGTATCTATCGATGTCTCTGCTGAGCGACGCCGCCGGACCATGTTTCGCGCCCGGCGAATGTTCTCGTGTTTGGTAGATGTTGAGCGGTCAGCGACCGGCGTGTGCAACATTTTCGCTTGAATCTGGCGCGGCTGGCCCACGTCACGTCACGAACTCTGGTACGATCTGCTTATGATGCCGTTGTCAAGATCTGTAGTGATGGGTTAACGAGATATATCTTTTGCGATATGGCACTTGTAGCAACAAAATCGTGGTTGGCTGTATGATTTTATTTATTTGTACTATTTCATCGACATGTGTGGCAGCCGTCCTTCGGGCTGGTAGCAACAAAGTAGCCTCGGGTGTTACTGTATGTGGGCGGTGTGTCTCTAATTTCCATCCAACGGTTGGTGTTGGGGTGTGTGTGTGTTAAAGTTAAGGATGTGGTAGATAGTATGACTAATGCAGAGAGCCCATCGAGATACGGTTAACTCGGTTATTCTGGGCCTTTCGAGAGGGTGAGCATAACTTTATTGACATTTTTCTTTCCTGCGTATAGCACGGCGGTCAGGCATTTAGGTTCGATGCCAGCAGAGCAGTTCCCACAGGTCCTTATCAACTACTGAACGATGCCATATTCACAGACATAGATCAGTTCTGACGGCTCTTTCTTTCGGTTTATGCTATATAGGGCGTATATAATGAAATATTATTCAAGAGTATATGTGTATCAGTGAATCAGAGACATGGATCGCGGGCATGTACCCACACACGTTCAGGTTGTCTTATATCTACATTCACGTACCCCTTGTTCCCTAACCCTTTCCATATTATATTTCTTCCTTATTGCTTTCTGCCCAAGCTCTATATCTCTCTCTTTCTCTCTCTGCTCTCTCTCTCGTCTCTCTTTTTTCTCGTCTTCTCTCTCTTCTCTCTCTCTTCTCTCTCTTCTCTCTCTCTCTCTCTCTCTCCCTCTCTCTCCATCTTCCTATCACCCTCTGTTTCGCTCTTCCTTTACCATGATATTTCTTATCAAAGTAATTTACATCGCTATGTTATTAATTAGCAGCAATCTTGTTTGACATTAATATTAATTGGTTTGTCTGAACATTAAACTACCTTGTAGTGCACACAAGGCGAATACGCGCGGCGACCATCCCACGTTTTGCGCAGCACTAATGTAATAGTGATGTATATGTGTTATATAGCACTAGTGCGAAGTGATGTGTATAGATTCCTCGTGTATATTGGTTGTATGGTACATTCAGATGTTATTCTGTATGAAATAACTCATCTGTCCCTATCAGCTTATACTCGATCCTATGGGTCGTCTAGTATGCTATAGCGCTGACTCGCTAATTATCATACGCTAAGCAGCTA